CTACAGGAAAGAAACCTCTTTCCCTTGGTTTCTTTCAATCTTTCCCAAACTGAACTGCCCACAGAATTTACTGTGCCCATACAATACTCGTTGATCACCAGCGTCCGGATCGGAGCTGGATTTCAGCAATCCTGGAGTTAGGGTTCCACAGAGTATACTTTGGGAACGCAGCTCAGGATTTCTTTGTTCCCTCTACTCTGAGCTGTTTTTCCATGTCACCTAACTGACACCAAGTAATGGAGTCCTGGTGTGGCGCTATGGATTAATGCGCCAGACTGTAAAGCTGTTTGAACTGCAAGGTCTGCAGTTCAAACTCACCAGTTGCTGTTTGGAAAGCCTATACTGGGTCGCTATGGGTCGGAACCAAGTCAAAGGCACTTCTTCACACAATACTGATCATCACTATCACAATACTGTTGATGTAGTTCAGTGCCGTCGAGTCGGTGCCAACTCCAAACCACCCTGTATACGGTTTCCAAGGAGCAGCTGGTGAGTTTGAACTGCCAACCTTGCACTTAGTAGTTTTCTTCATCTTACAGCACCACACTGGGACTAGCTGTCATTTACTCAGCATCTACAGGCACTGTGTGAGGGGCAGTGCAAACCAAATACCATTGAATCGATTTCAACTCACGGCAACCTCACGCAGGTCACAGCAGAACTGTGCTCTGTAGGTTTTCACTGGTAGATTTTTCAGAAGTAGATCTCCAGCATTCTTCTGTAAACAGACTGGAACCTCCAGCCTTTCAGTTAGCAGCCAAGAATGTTAACTGTCTGATCCTCGCAACCACCCTCTGACATAGGAACTATTATCCCCTTGACCCCATCTTCCCAATAATCAAACTATAAATCAAAAACTTTCCATCATTAGCCCAAGATACAGTACGCAGAAAAATCAGTATTAAAAACTGCACTGGTCTAACTCCAAAGCTCATGAACTTTCTTCTCTACGATTGTTGCTGTTGTTGTTCGGTGTTGTCAAATCATTTCCCACTCATACAGGGTTTGCAAGGAGCAGCTGGGGACTTTGAACTGGTGACCCTGTGATTAGCAGGCCAAATGCTTATCTACAGCACCATAATAATGCACTAGACTGCAAAGTTCGTTTGAACTGCAAGGTCGGTGGTTCAAACTCACCAGCCACTCCTTGGAAACTCTATATAGGGTCACTATGGGTTGGAACCAACTCGACGGCACTTACCAAGAACCAAGCAATACCATACTATGTTCAACACTGCTGCCTATCCACTCAAACTCTCTGGTGCCTCTTCCTTGCCAATAAAACCCTGATTTTGTATGTGATGGTTAGTAAGTCCAGTGAATGGATTATGAACAGTCAAAATCTATCAGAACAGTGTTCCTGCTTCCCTACCTCTAAGCATTCCTTGTGACTGGGAATATGCATTTGACCCAGTGCTGGCCAAGAAGATACACGTATCCTCTGAATCCTGGAGGGGGTGTCCTGTGAAAGCCTGCGTTACCTCAAACAAAGGGTGATGGTAGTGGTGGTGGTGGTGTGCCGTGGAGTTATATCCAAATCATAGCGACCCTGTACAGGGTTTCCAAGGCTGTAAATCTTTACGGGAGCAGAAAGCCTCATCTTTCTCCCACGGGAACAGCTGGTAGTTTCAAACTGCTGAGCTTGCGGTTCACAGCCCAATTCATAACCACTACACTACCAGAGCTCCTTCTAACAAAGGGTTGTTATAATATTCTTTATAATATTCTTCCACATTCGCCTAGTACTTCTCCTTCCTGCTTTGAACCCAGCTGTAATGGCGGAAGTTGTAACAGACATCTTGCAATCATAAAGGAAAGGCCACAAGAACTGGCAAGAACACTGCTCATATCATTGACCCACTAAGCCAACCCAAGCAAGTACATACCTCCAGACTTGCACATGAAAAAAAGAAACCATCATTTGTTTCATCACCAGCATGGGGTTTTCCATTTCATGCAAGTTAAACACATTCCTAATTTATCCACACGCTATCTCCATATTATTTACTGCTTAGAGTTTATCAATATTTCATATGTACTATAATCCTTGTCTCCCTAACCATGAAGGGCATTTCTTGGATTCCTGGAATGGCACAGTGGGACTGCAAGGCCGGTTTGAACCACAAGGTTGGCGGTTCAAATTCACCACTCCTTAGAAATTCTAGTCAAGGTCGCTATGAGTCTGAACCAACTCAACAGCACCTAACAACAACAACAACAAACATCAAGAAATGTATTTTTCTTTCTACAGAATCATTTGCATGTTACTGAATTTTGCTTAATATCAACATTTTCAATGATGGTCTGTTCAATGTTATACTTCACTATTTGTGATCAAAAAGTCTTCACCATTAAATGACTGAAATATGACCATCACCTCTTTATGAATTTATATTTCTGAAATTGACAATATGGAAGTGTGCATCAAACTATATAGTAAATGGAGATCCTTGGGCCCCAATGGGATTAGAATTTCTGGGGCTAGAGACTGAGAAATGGTATTTCAACAAGTTCCCCCACATGATGCTGATCTATAAAATTTGAGAATTTCTGGAGAAAGTCTTTTTCTTTATGACATGAAAAAAAAAAATTTATATATATATATAAACTTTATTTATCTTTTTAAAGTTTCCCCCCTGAAGTCCCAGCTCTCACAGCTGTTACCTGGGAAGGGTCCAACCATTTTTCTTCTTTTTTCAAAATAACTCTTTAAATGATTTATATATACATATACAACAAACCATTTGCTGTTGGAACCATTTTTGCACGTACAATCCAACCATACCAGCTACACGCCCAATGTTGCACAACCATCATCATTTTGAAATCCTTTCTCTCTCTCTTCTATCTCTCTTTTTTTTTACTTTTGCAGGGGAAAGTTACCAATAGTTTATCCTAATGAGAAAAAGGATATATATAAACATATATATAAATATATAAGCAATGTATATATTGTTTCCCTTCAGGTACATGAGAGAAAAAAAAAGGAAGAAAGCAATTACTTTTCTTCTTTTTCCTTTTGACGTTTTCTAGTGAAAAAGTCTTGTGGAGTCAGAACCGAGGTGAGATTTGTCCAGACTTGCCTAAGCCCCCGGGCCCTTCTCAGCAGCCCGCCTTAGCCCTAAAGACACATGTCCAATCTAAATCAGCCTAACTGCTTGAGACCCTGCCCTGGGTGACATGGGTCATTAGCTAGCACGCTGTGTGGTACACTGGAGCTGAGAAAGTGCCATGCAGATACATTCCCAATAACTGGAACCACCTACCATCCCAACACCTCCAACCCCCAATATAAAGAAAAAATCACTACCCCCAAAGGAAGTGATGAAGCCCAGCGCCCACTGCAGCCAGCACCAATCTCTGAGGAGTTATCAAAGGACAGTGCATGGTGAAAAGAGGAAGCTCTGCAGCAGCTTACAGCGTGTGACACAAGCCAGCATTTGGGATTCCTGACTCACGGGTACAGAAGGAAACTCAAGCTGGCCGTTGGGGTTATTTATTTATTTACTCACTGTATGCAGTTCTGAACAGAATCTGCTCTTGGGCACTGTCCAGAGACAGACAGAAGGCTGGGCCCAAGCAGCCCACACTTTTTCTCCCAGAAGCTGAGTCCTAGCCTAGACTGCTTCCCTAAGCAGGCTCTGAGAAAGGCAATCCCCGTACCTCCCTACATCAATCCACCCCCAAGCAGCCTTTAGCATTTATCTTATTTCATTTCTGAGGATCATCTTCCCAGGTGACAGGTGCACACATATGTGAGTCCCAGGTAGCAAGCAGATTAAAATGCACGCAAGCCCTAACTCCTCTTTCAAACTCATGACCGTCCTGCACTCTGACATCCAGCCAAATTCAAAACCATGGAGGTAAAAAAAGAAAGACCTGCAAGTGAATCAGAAGCTTGAATTCGCTCATCCACGCTAGAAGAGGGACATAAATAAGGCTAAAAGGTTCGGCAGGTATGGAGATTTCAGATCTTAGAAATTCATGAGTCTGCTAAAGCACATGCCCATGCCACCCAAGAAGGAAGCCCTCTTTATGACTCTAGCTTGCACCGCCATCACCCTCAGCAAATACCAGTAAATGGGAGCTCCCAATGTGACTGCTCTGAGGAAAGGAAGTGAGTGGGACCCTTCAGAGATAAAACAAAATGTGGCTGTCCCATAAGCATGGATACCAGCTGTTCTCTAACATTCTTGAAAGCTTTCTCCTTCGACCAATTGGCCCTCGGAAGAAATCATTTCTGCCATTTCTGAGTAACTTTGAATCCCTTTCACCACCCCCACCAAAAAAAAAAAAAAAACTGCTTCAAACTCCCCCTCAAGTTCTGTTGGAGAGTCTTACAACACACCAAATATACTGCCCCACACCACCTGCGAATGGTGATCCAGGCCCGGCATGTATTTTTCTCTTCTTTTTTACATGTTTTAGGCAAGCAATGATTTACTGCATCAAAATGACTTTAAGGGGAACGAGTAGCTCATCGGGGCCTTATTCTCCCATGCCTTTTGCTTGCCGACATATAGATCACTGGGAAACAGCAAACCTCAAGGAACAAAACGGAGGATGAGAAGGAGCCTGAAGAAGCGGTGGTCTGTATTTCTAAGTGGCCACATTCCCTGAGCAAAAACCACCTTTTGACCACCTGCAGAATGCACAAGGTCACGTGGCTGCTCTGCAGCTCCTAATGTATTACCCCAATCACAAGCCCCCCATGGCATACAAACAACAAATCCACAATGGGGGGGGGAGAGAAGTAGAGGACTCCCTCCACAGAGAAGAAGCCAAAGATAATGCCAACAGCAGCAATAATAAATAAGGAATAGCAATTACTACCACCACCCAGCCAAGCAGTCAGGGGCCAACCAATGCAGGCTTTGCAAGAAGATAAATGACAGAAAACCACACCATGCCCCCCAACCCGCAGCAAACTGAATTAAAGGAAAAAGGGAGAAAGAAGAGAGCGAACGCAGGAACACCGCTTCCCCAAAGGCAACACCTACCTCCAGGGTCCGGATTTCTTTTTGCGTGAGGTCGTTGGAGGTGGCACATTTGGTCCTGAGCCCCTCCAGGTTGGAAATGCTGAGGTCTATCATGTTTTGGACCAACTCACACTGCTGTAAGGCTTTTTGCAAACTCAGAGCCTGCTGCTCCTCGCTTTTCGTCATGTTTTCCTCATCCATCGCTTGCTCTGCAACCCCCCTTCCCCTCCTCCTCCTCCCAGAGAGAAAAAAGGGGGGGGGGGCGTAGAGGTACTCTACCCCAACGTCTCTCCAACCACTGCGACTTCTCAACGTCTCATGAAGAAGAAACCCAACATCTCATAGAGGGTTGGGGAGACGGGGGAGGGGGCGGGGAGGGGAGATTAAGGGACAAGAGCCAAAATTTATTTTATTTTGGGCTATCAAGCAGACTCCATTAGAATGTCTTCGGAGTCTCGGGTCCCTGAAAAGGAGAGATGCTGTTTCTCAGAAGCGAACCAGGTGATGTGATGCTGTCTGTACACTTAGGGAGGAGGGGAAAGAGGAGGGGAAGAGGAGGGGGAAAAGGAGGAGGAGGAGAAAAAGGAGGAGGAGGAGGAGGAGACGAAAAAAAGCGCTCACTCTTTACACACCGGCTCCGTGAACGACAAGATGATATATTTTTGGTTGGCTGGCTTTTATGTCAAAAAAAAACCAAAAACCTGGCTTTCCCCCTCCCAGTGACATGGCATTGTCCACCGTTTAGGGGGGGGTTAGTGCGTCCTCAAGACGCTGTCTGCATTGCTCCCGCGGCTGCGGCGGCTACTGCGTCTAGCTGCTGCCTCCTTGCGCTGCTGCTGCTGCTGCTGTTGCTGCTGCGGCCGCAGCCGGGCTCTGGGGGTGACGGCTGCTGCATTTGCTCCTGCCTCGCTCCACACCGACATCTTGCCTGTCAATCAAAGGGAGGGGGAGCAAGGCAGCGCTGAGGGATGGAGAGCGCTCAGGGGACCTGCCGGGAGCGGGTTGGCGGAGGCGCTGAACGCGCAGCCGCCCCAGCCAGCTCGGCAGGGGCGCGCAGGGACCCTCCTGAGGTGGCGCGCACAGGCTTGCGCACCTGGTCGGAACCAGGGAGGGGTTTCCAGGGCTGCGGAGCTCGCGTGGCCGAGTGCAATTACTACTGGGCGGGCGTGCCAGCGGGCAGGCGTGGCTGCCTGAGCGCGGGGAAGGCACGCGGCTACCCAGGCTGCTCCAGGGGGCGGTGGGAACAGCGGGGAGGGTGCGGGAGCGTGGAGGCTGGCAGAGGGGCGGAGAGAGAGAGGCGGGTGGCACTGTGGGGGTGGGGGCCACTACTACATCCCCGTTCTCGCGAGACAGGCAAGAGCGCAGCTCAGCAGGTGCGCTAAGGCGGGGAGCAGGTGTGCGCCCAACTTTGAAACCCTGAGCGTGTGCTAGAGAAACGTCAACGTGAAACTGGGCAAATACCCCACTGTCTGTCTAGCTCAATGTGTGGACGCCTTTTTGTTGGTTTGTCCTTTCTTATTACGGGGAGTTGGTGTGGTGGAGGTGTGGGTGGAGTTTAAAATTTTTCTAAAAGAAAAAAAAAAAAAACACTTTTTTGAACTGGAAACTCCTGCCTCCCAGCCTGCAAGCACTCTGACTAGCGGCTTTCCATTTTGCCTTATTCTGACTGCGGACTTAATTACAAGAGCCCACCTACCACTACCGGCTTCCTCCAGCCTACTTGCCTTTATACCCCACCGCTCTCTAAACACACATGCGCACTTCCTTTCTACTTCTGTAAATCAGGGGTCAACAGATCACAGCCCCTAGGCTGAAAATGGTTTTTACGTTTAAAAAAAACTTGGGGAATGGAAATAATATTTTGTGACGTGAAAATCACATTAAATTAACACGTGTCAGAAAAGTTTAATTGGAACTTAACCACCAGTTCATTTACACATCTTCAATGGCTGCTTTGGGGGGTCCTGGTGTGGCTCTGTGGGTTAATGCGCAGTAACAGTTTAAACCGCAAAGTCGGGGTTCAAACCCACCAACTGTTCCTTGGAATCCCTATCAGTCGGAACCGACTCTATGACACTTACTAACAACATAGCTGCTTATGCACTATAACTTCAGAGCTGAGCAATTTCAACAGTGACTGTAGGGCCCACAACATCTAAAATGTTTGCCATCTGGCCCTTGGCTGATTTGTCCTTAGTTATCTCGTGCTATTTTAACAGAAATACCACAAATGGATTGTATTAACCAACAGAAACGTCCTCTCTCACAATTTAGGAGGAGTGTCTGCTCTAGGGGAAGGCTTCCTCTCTTTGTCGCCTCTGGGGAAAGGTCTTTGCCTCCTATCATCATCTATAGACCCCACCATCCCTTGGAGATCTTCTTGAGCCTTGATGAATCGTTGCCTGAATCTGAGAGCTTCTCAATGCAGGGACCCCAGCTCCAAAGGACTCATTCCAGTCTTGGCTCTTCTTGGTTGGTGGTAGGAGGTCCCACCTTCTCAGCTCACTTCTCTCTTTTTATGTTTATAAGCTAAATGATGCTGTAAGCCACACCCCTAGGAAGCTCCCTTATATGCATGCGATAAGGGTTGTGATGACACTAAGGGTATTGCTGCCCACCCTTAATCCTTTTACTGGTTTATCATGTCAGATAACATAGGGAACCCTCACGTAACTGCAACATTATGTCGTTACAGAACTACCGGAGCACTGAGAATCAGCACTCAGGCAAACTGACACACCAGTCCACCTGTGACAGGCCTTTCCCAGAAAAGTGTGTGACCCCTGCTCTGAATCACCAAATGCTAACTCTTGCCTCAGAGCCCTTTGCATCCATATCCCTCTTAAGTCCTCTTAAGGAGTCCTGGTGTGGCGCTGTGGGTTAATGCGCTGGTGCAAAGTCAGTTTAAACCACAAGATCGGCTGTTCAAACTCACCAACCATTCCTCAGAAACCCTATATAGGGTCACTATGGGTCAGAAATGACTCACTGGCACTTAACAACAACAACAGTCCTCTCATGGTTAACTCATCACTAAGTCATCCCTCTCTGATCACCTCATCTAATTGTAACCCCGATACACACTGCCCAGAGAATGCATTTAGGATAATTAGCAAAAGGCACTCGCTAGGTAAAAAGAGGACATGCCAGGGTACTGGGCTTACTGGGCAGTCTGATCATCAGAATACACATTACAACGTGCCCCGTAAAAGAGACCGCTTGAGAAGCAAAACAGTTAGGGAGAGCCAAACTCTCTTTTGAATGGCAAACATTCTTTTTACTTGAAAAATGAAGCAGTGGGGTTTTATAGCTCACAAAGAACTAAAAATCAATTGCCCCTTATGTACATATAAGTTGAACAGTGAATCAAGAAGACCAAAGAAGAATCAATGCATCAGAACCACCACCAAATCTGTGTTGGGAGGAATACAGTCAGAATGCTATTTAGAAGCTAGGCAAGTGAGATTTCATCATTTCATCTCTCAGACTTCAGACAAGTTATCAGGAGGGCCCAGTTGCTGGAGAAGGAAATCATACTTGGTAAAATGGAGTGTCATCGAAAAAGAGGAAGACCCCCAACAAGACAGACTGGCACCGTGGCGGCAGCAATGAGTTCAAGCATAACAACAATTGTGAGAATGGCACAGGACACGACAGTGTTATGTTCTGTTGTGTATAGGATCACGATGAGTTGGAATCAACTCAACAGCATCTAACAACAACAGAGCTGAATCAGCATTTTCAAACTCTCTTAGTGAGAAGTTCAAGTGAGTTCTCCATGCGCTCAGTCTTTTGGGCTATGAAGTTTGTAGATTCCGAGTCTCTGGAAAAAGTCTCCATCTTTTCATCTATTTCTGCCTTTTTTTTTTTTTTTCTTGCACATATAAACTATGGTTATTTTAAAAACCCTTGTCTAACTCCGTTACCTAGTTCAGCTGTAGGTCTGTTTCTGTTGGCCAGAGTTCTCTTGGTCTTGTCTATTGGCTGATCTTGTCATTTTAATTCACCACCACACTTTTTATATTACAAAAATACAGACGCTCCAGGTGCTGATGTTATCAAACTCTGGAGAGGACTCTACTAGACAGATGGCATGGGGATGGATCACCTCAACCCAGCTGGGGCTGAGCTGGATGGCGGCTGGGTCGCCATTATGGTGAGACACCATCTATCTCTGCCCCCTACCTCCAAGATTTTACCTTCCAGAAATCCCAACCAAAGTCCTGGGTGTTAACTGAACCCCTCCCCTGATTCTGAGCTGTAATCCTTCTCTCTTCATGGTGACAAGACTGCTGCAAACTCCACTGTGCTTTTTGGGGGACTTTCTGCTTGGTGACTTGATTGTTCCTGCTCTGCACAACTGCATATTTTGGTGACTGTCTTGTACCGTGTGGCTCACTTTCTCGCCCTTCTCAGAGCTTGGCCTCTCAGATCCCACTTTGTCTTTCCAGCCTGTGAGACTGCTCAAAGTTCTGCAGGTTTCTCTGTCTCCAACTGCAGCCCTCTTGCCTGGGGGAAACCTTGACTCTCAAGTTCTATCTCTGTGGCCAGAACTGCCAACGTCCCCAGGAAAGGGTGGCTGTGAGAGACCAGCTCACCTCGCCACAGTTCCCCTCTCCACAAAATGCTGATCCCTGTGAGGCGGATGATGAAGATGACAATCATCCACTCTCATTTTCCTAGCTGTTTTCAGAGGAAGGAGAAGTTTACATGATGAAAGTTGCCCATAGGATGAAGGTCTCTAGCTGGAAGCACAGAAATGCATTCTGCTTGGTCACCTTTTTTTTTCTCTTTTTCAAGTCAGCTGTTAGAGTGGACCTGTGCTATGCTTAGCAGTCACCCAACCCTTTTAACTCCCTTTCCTATGTTTGGGGAATCCTCTACATTATGAATCCCACCTCTCTGTAGGAGAAACCAAAGCACATTTCCAAAGCCTTCCATTGCATGCAACAAGGTCTAGTGCATGTGATCTAGGATTTGCCATGAGACACATCACGTGAGATTCCTATTGGGAAGTAAGCAACAAAGGAGAAAAGTCTGTCCATGAGCACAGAAGTCAATGCACCTGCTTTACGGTGTCCTGTACTGTGTCATCCGTGAAAATTGTGGTACCCAGCTGAGAAGGGTAGCACTATGTTCCCATCCCACACTGTGACTTGGGCAGTCACCCATTCTGGTGGCCCACTTTGGGACTGGCTCTG